GTGGGAGGGATAACAAAAGAGAATGCACGCTTCCATGACCTCTATAGTGGCACTCCCTGAATAATGGGACGTGGAGAGAGTCTATCCTGCTTGACCCTATTGGATAGGTGGATGTTACTGTTCTAGAATAGACATCTGAAGAGCCATTCAAAAAATATTTCAGGCACTTCATCCTATTAATGTGAACTAGTTCAGAGAAGGCAGTACAGCTTTTCGTAGTTATGGAATGAGCTGTATGTACAGTAAATGTTTCATTGTCTTCCAGAAGCGAATGTCTTTTAGAAGACATTTGGCTGGTCTGTTGTGTTGCCTTTAGGGAGCTTTGGTGTTGCTAATTTAATATTGTTTTATAATATTTATGCTATTTATGCTAGTATAAAATCATATAATTTGTTGTAATAAAAGTGATATGTGACCAGTGCAATTCTATTCTAGGTAATTTATTAAATAGCCTATGTGGTATAGTTCTAGCTGAACTATAGGAATGAATCTAGCAGTACAGGGATACAAAACTAGAAGAGGAAAAGCTTGACTAGAAGATTCTTTTTATAAAAAGAACAAAGAAGTGCATTGGATGGTGACCTGCCCAAAGTCATTTTGTTTGTAGTGGGTCCATATTGAATGAACAAACAAACACATATCCCTTGTTGTATAGAGCCAATGATATAAGAAACAGAAGAACATTTAGGACTCTGAAGTAGTGCTAACTCCCTAGAACACATGTAGTGATTCAGGTAAAATCCAGGTTGTTATGGTCCAGTTACTAACTTCTACATTGCTCAGAGATGTTTTTAGATCATTTAGTTGATAAGGATTCAGATATGAAATCTTTATTATAAAAGATGCTAGCAAATTACTTATCTTATTTCAAGGCAGTGTTATGTTTCAAGGTGGTCAGAAATACAGACCTTTGTAGAAGTTATGCTTTAAGTTATAGATAAGAACTCACAAAGCCACATAATTATCAGCACCTCTTACTGTTCTGTTGTATCTGTTCTATTGTAGTTGAATCTATACATGAGTGTGGCAAGCATTTAATAATTCATCTCTTCTTACTGGTTTACTCTTTTTTTTTTTTTTGGCACATGTTGCTGAAATTGCACTTCATTCATGCATAACAAAAGTCCTTGATTGTCATTTAACAGATTGGAAATAGATCTGTATTCTACACATAATCATCCCAAATGCATTCATGAATATTTTCACTAGTGTTGTTCAACAGCTCTGAAAAAAAGTTATTCCATAAAAACTATTCTAGAAAGAGATTGAGTGATAGCAGTGGAAAACATGTTTGTAACCTCACAGAATTCTCAGTATTTTACTCAGAGGGTTGAGGAAAAAAAAGAGAGAAAATTTTTCTGCCTCTAATGAAAATTGGAAGGTTTGGGGGGTTTAGTTTTATCCCCTTTTATGTCCAAGGGAGGTCAGTTTCTGTTATTTTCCATTGTAGATCAAATTCAGAGATTTACTTACTAATCTCCTCACATATATGTTTCATAGTTCTAATTAGAAAAAGAAGCTGTTGTTTCTTTGTTCTTAAAAAATAAATATTTATGCTATTTGTTTTCATTACTGCAAAACTTCAGGACAAGCTACTTGAATCCCATGTAAACATACCCATCACACTATCCCCTTTTTTGCAGAGTGCAGACTAATAGTAAGAAAAAATTCACCAAAGACATAAAATAAGTAAGAGAGAAGGAAAAGAAATAGAGTTACATCTAGTTTATACCAGAACCACTCACATTCCACTCTATGCCCTTCTGACTTTGCAGACCATCCTTGCTTCCCTCAAGAACATTCACTGCTTCATTCAGAAGGGACAAATTAGAAATATCTCTAGTAACAACTAGGTGCAAGTGGGTTTTAATGATGAAAGTATTGGAATAAGACCTGGGAGACCCAGGATCAAGCTTACTGTCAGTCATGGAATTTCCTGTGTTTTTCCCTGTGGAAAGGAAAAATAGGATCTGCTTTAAGAGGCCTATATATATGAAGAGCAAGCCCAATGACAACCTGAGAAGCAAAAATGAGATAAATAGGAGATGGAAGCAGGGGCTGAAAACTAAGGAAGAATACAAACTGGAAGCTTGAGCTTATAAGAACGAAGTTAGGAAGAATAACGCTCAGAATGAGATGAGGCTGGCCCAGCCCATCTGCGCTTGCACCGGGCCGGCCACTTGTGCACTCCTGCGCACCCTCCCTGAGCCTCACTGTTCCTCCCCCAATCATGCCCCCCACACCCTCCCTCACCCTTGCCATGCTTCCCTCACACCCTCATGCACCTTCCCTGAGCCTCACTGTGCCTCCCTCACATTCTCATGCACCCTCATGCACCCTCCCAAGCCTTGCTGTGCCTCCCTTGCTACACCTCCCTTGCACACTTGTGCATCTCCCTCACAGCCTCATGCACCCTCACCATGCCTCTCTTGCACTCTTGTGCACTCCTGTGCATCCTTGTGCACCCTCCCCGAGCCTCACTGCGTCTCCCTTGTAGCCTTGCACACCCCCTTGTGCCCTCCCTGCCCAGCAGCAGCCACTTACCTGCCTGCTGGCCTGCTTGCAAACCACCTAGGACCTGCGCCTTCCTGCCGGCTTCCCCACTGGCTTGGTTGTGGGAAGCCGGCAGGAGGTTGCCTCACCTAATGACCATGGGATTTGGTTAACAATGGCAACTAAGAATGCAGGGATTGCCATCGCTAAGCAATGTGGTCATGCTTTATGACCTCATCGCTTAGCAACGTAAATTCCAGTCCCAGTTGCCATCATAAGTTAAGTACTACCTGTAACTGGAAAGAAGGAGAAAACTGAACTGTTTGATCCTTTTTTTGCAACTGTCTTCTCTCAGAAGAGGGAGTGAGGTCTTTTAGATACATTGAGGAAAGGTACAATTCAGTACCAATAAAGATGTGGTAAAAGGATTTCTGGGTGGGTAGACTGCTTCCTTGGAACTTCTCCGGATAAGGAGAGGATGAAGGATTGCCAACACATGCTCTGGATGGCTGCTCCTCATAAGGAGACTGCAGGACAGCACTTTTCCATGGGTTTGAGTGCTGGGAGATGACAGGATTAGCTATCTTGCTTGCAACTGTGGTAGAGACTTTTAAAGGACACTAAGTTAGCAAACCTCACTTTCTAATCGCTTTTGGAAATTGCTCATTAACTACTTCTAAGCTATTAGAGACCTTCGGACCTCTGGGTAAGTCTGCCTTCAATCCTGAATGAAAGAAAATTTTATTCATAAGGTTAAGAATTTAAACAATCTGGAATAAACAGCAAAATGCTAAATAA